TGTGGGAGCCTGGCTGAACCAGAGCGACTCCATCTTGATCAGCAAACAACCTAGAGACTGTCGCTCCCCCCCCATCCCTTACAGGATAACTAATGATTAATTGTGAATTGTTAGGTGGCTGTTTTGAAGTAGCTAGGAAACTAGGTAGAAACTGTAGTGAACACAGAGACCCAAGGCAGGTCACGCCACTCCTTGCATGCCTGTAGTCTGAATGTTCTGAACTTTATGATGATCTAGGTTGCAAATGGAACAATGGATAATCACTCTGCTGATCATTAGTACATGACGACCACTAGCTCAGATCAACTGACTCTTTGCCTTTGTCCTTTTCCTGTAAGTTTTAAGTGTAAACCCCCCTTTTCAGCCCTATATAAAATGGCCTCTGTTTCTTAGCTGGCCGCCTCTCTGAGCTACTTGGCTTGGGAGTGCCGTCTGGCCAGACTAATAAAGGTCTATTAGCCAACTTGCCTGGTGTGTTCCTTCCTGGGTGACTCTCGCTATCGGACAAGCTCCTGGAGCCTCGCTGAGCTGCTGAGCCCAGCATCGTGAAGGCCTCTTGGCTGTTCACGCTCCAGGAGTAAAAGTGAGACACGAGTCTTACAGAAAGAGATGCTGATGGCTAGGACCAAGATGGAAAGATCGGAACTAGGGAGCAGCGGTTGGGTTTTGGATACATTTTGAAGGTATATTCACTTTTTATTCATTCTGAACTTCCTTTTTTCCACTTCCTTTTTTTTGAAACATATCTTATATTGGGGTGGCATTTTATGATTGTTGTCAACCAGGTGACAGTCGTGATACAGTTGTTTAGTTTGTTAAACATTTTTAAGCGTCTATAGTCCCAACTACTTAAGAAACCAAGGGAGGAGGACCATTTGAGCTCAGAGCTTTGAGGCCAGCCTGTACATACGGCAAGAGTCTGTTACAAAAAGAAAAGAATGAATGAAAGAGAAAGAAAGAGAAAGGAAAGAAAGAAAGAGTTCTATTGATATTATCTGGTAATTGCTATCATCCATCTATAATATAAAAAATTATAATTTTATGTAATTAAAGTTCAAAGTTTAATTTTTTTCTCAGAAATGCATTATAAGTGTAGCTTTTCTGCTTACTTTCACTGACAATACAGTTAGTCCTCCGTGTCCATGAGTTCCACATCCTCCAACCAATCATGGGTCAAAATATATACAGAATTTTCTTGTCGTATTTCCTGAGCACTATAGTACAACAGGTATGTACACAGCATTTACATTGCATTAGGTATTGCAAATCATCTAGAGATAATTTAAAGTATGTGGCATGATGTGTGTAGGTTACATGCAGATACTATGCCATTTTGTATAAGGGATTTGAGCAGCTGCAGATTTTGATATCTAAGGATGTATGGGTCCTACAACCAATCTCCCCAGATATTGAGGGATAACTAGTTATTTGCTTAGTTGCAAATCCTCTAATTTCCTCTGATAATGGCCAGTGTCAACCCATATAGATATAATGTGACAAATTCAGATAACTAAATTTCAAAATTTAAGCTTTGCTCAGAAAAGCATTAGACATGTGGCTGCTTTGCTCTTTCATTAACAAGACCTCACTTGAGGGTTTTTTGTTTTGTTTTGTTTTTCTGATACCAGGGATCAAACTCGGGCCCTTGCGAGGCAGACGGCAGAACCACTGAGCCAAACTCCCCGCCCCATCACTTTGTGACTAGATTTCAGCTTTCTCCAGGTCTCCTGTCTTTCACAGACTAGTGCTAGAATTAGCTTCCTGAAACCTGTTTATCATCTCATTCTGTGAGTATAAGTCTCTGATGTGATACAGGGCTATAGAATTTCAAATTTGACATCTTCATACTGGAACCCCATACTCTGCCTATAATCTTTTTATTCTTGCATGCTTGTAGTACAGAATAGTGATGCTCATTTTGGGGAATTGAATGAATGAATCTTGATCATTTTTGGTCATTTCACTACACTTTCCCTGCCCACCTCTCTGTCTCTAAGAGTTTGCTTTTTAGTTTCCTAGCATCTCCTTTTTTATTTGTTTGTATTTTAGGTTTCTTTCACCAATTTCTCCAGCCTTATTCCCCACTTGTACTTTCTATATAAGCGTTACTGAATTCTCAGTTCCTTGTGAGACAAGACCATATCCCAGCTGCGCACCTGTTGTCCTGCTTCACCTGTTTTTCTCCAACAGCTGTTCATCCTTCATCCGCAATGGATGTCACTTTGGGAAACTGTCTGGATCTTCCAAGCAGATGTAACTATTTATCTTCTCACAAGACATGCTGTGTGGAAATGCAGTTCATCTGTTTGTCCTTTTCTCGCCTCCTGGGGGCTGGAAACTGAGGACCTGATTCATCTTTGCATCCTCTGAACATAGTTATTTGCTTGGTACAGAACAATTATGCAATACTTGTAAGAATCAGTTTTTATCACATTGGATTTGATGAACCATACTTCTCCTTCCTGAGTAGTAGCTGTCTCATAAAGTGTTTTAGGTATTTTGAAGATTACTTAATGTCATGCATGAAATTATAATGTTTTATACATAAGTGCTCGATAAAAGACTGCTCTTTAAAAATTTGTGTAAAATCATAAATAATATTACTCATATTTTGAATGAATATATTATCTTTTAATCCCATTGGAAAATAATGATGTCTAATTTAAGGCTCAGAGTGGTATCTGACCCATTACAAAATCTTCTAGTGTCGATGAAAAAGAATAAAAAGCAGTGAAGAGGACATAACCCCATTTCATTTTTCTCTTGGTGACAAAGTAGAGAGCTTTGATTGTTTGAATATACTAAATATAGAGCACAGATGACCCAAAAGCTCACCTCAAACTTCATTTTTTTCTAATAGCTCCTGAAAAAAATACTCTCAGGAGTACTAATTCTTCCTGTTAATTTAGGTAGTTTATACAATTTTCAGTAGTGTAATGCACTTTATCACATTGACCTTATAAGAGTTTGTTCACGTCTTGTTTATTTTGGTCATTATAAATGAATCATTAAATAAATTACTTAGTATTTTTTTTAACATGCAGATAAATAATTTAATGCATGATTACCATTCAAACAGACATCATTGAGTTTCTGTTAATTCTCGATGCATGACTTTGGATAGGATTTTGACACACACCTCCATCTATGACTTAGGAGTTTTCTTGATTGTTATGTTGACACTGATGAATGCTATGGATTGAATGTTTGTTCTGTCCAATGCTGCTGTTAAAATTTAATTGCCACTGTAACAGTATTAAGGGGTGAGGCCTTAGAGAGGTGATTAAACCATGAAGGCTCTACTCCCATGGGAGATGCAGATGCCACTAAAAAGGTTGCGTTAGGCCCCCTCTGCCTGTCTCTTTCATTCTTCTCCCCTACGCTCCTCTCCACTCTCTTGCTTTCTGCCCCTCTTACTTCTTTACCCATGGTGACGAAGCAAGAAGCCTCATCAGATGTTGGCATCTCGATATTGGACTTCCTAGCCTCCAGAACTGTGATGCAATGCAGTTCTGTTCACTATGTTTCCTAGTGCTATAATTTGGATATGGGTTAGGTCTCAAAGATTCATGTTTTGGAAGCTTCATCCCCAGTTTGGTGATGTAAGAAGTGGTGAAACCTTTAAGAGATGAAGCCTAGTAGGAGATAATTAGATCATCAGGGACGGAAAAAAAAGTAGTGTAGTTTTTGTGGAGCCTCAATTAATTCTTACTAGAGTGGATTCTTGTGACTGAGGCTATCCTATGTGGCTATCCCCTTTTGCATGCATCCAG